CTCAAGCACAGTATAATCTTGCTTTCTGTTATCAAAATGGCGAAGGAACAATTAAAAATGAACAAAAAGCATTCGAACGGTATTTAAAATCAGCAAAGTCTGGAGTTCCTCAAGCAGAATTTCTTGTTGCCAGGTGTTATGAATTTGGAATAGGTGTAGAAAAGGACGAAGATAAGGCATTTGAAATCGATTTAAAATGTGCTCATTCTGATAATATGTTTAGCCAATTTTTATTAAGGTTCAGTTATAAGAGGGATTCAAGAACAAAAGAAACGGAAAAATCTTTATTTGACATTATTTTTAGTTCCGCTGAAAATGGCAATTTTCATTCAAAGTTTCGACTTGGGCAATGCTATGAATACGGAGAAGGTACCATCAAAGATGATAATAAAGCATTTGATTGGTATTTAAGAGCAGCTGAATCTGGACACAAAAAAGCACAATTTAATATTGGAAAATTTTACCATTATGGAATAGGAATTTCAAAAAATCTCGAAATGGCTTTAAAATGGTATCAAAAAGCTAAGGAGAATGGACATGATATAGCGGCTGAAATTGTTGAATCTTTTAATTTTGAAGAAATTTTTCAAATTGGTAGTTAAATTTTTTAATTTATCCTTTATTTTTAGTGATTTTTAAATTCTAAATAAATGTAATTTACTAGCTCAAGATTATAATATAGCTTTACATTACCAGTTTGCATAGACTTTTTAATTCACTTGCCAAATTTCAATCTGAACTTGAGTTCATTTGAATTATTTACGTTATTTTTACCTTTTCAAATAGTTAAAGAATACACTAATCATTATTATGATAACTTAGATAATATTGACCAAAGTATTGATCAAGTTAGATCACTGAAAATATTGAGAAAGAGTTTCTTGTATCCAACAAATTTTATTCTTTCTTCTTCGATAGGTAATACAATACATGTGTCTGTATATTTTGCATCTGAAAGAAAATATCAACTAATTTTTTAGTGATCTAAAAGTAATATTTGTATTTCTATTCATGAACGAAATAAACGATATGTTATGTTATCATTTCATTTATTTTTTGATCACTATTTTGTGAAAACATGAATTAAATGCTTAATGGTATCTGATATAACAATAACGACAAATAAAAATACAAACATTTAAATAAGCTTTCTTTTTAATGCATACATGTACATTGTATAAAAGTTGCATGACACGCATAATCCCTACCGCTACATAGATGACACATACGTAATTATTTGTTGATATAGATTACATGTATCTCGTTATTTTTTTATCATTCCAACCAATTCGCATTTTACAGCGAACTCAAAGATGGAATTAAATCGTTATCATTGTTATGAATGTACTGATTGTCAAAATAATTGGAGTGTTTAGTTCACAAGACACATGATTGTAGTATTGTCAAAAAGATGAGTACTGCTGACAAAATTTCAAATATCATGAACGAAATTATAACGATGGATTGACTAGCGGAGATAAAGATATCGATAATCTAATAAAGAATGTAACAAAATTCTAATAGATTATTTGAATGGATTCTTTACCAACGTTGAATATCTTGCAAAAGATGGTTTGGGTCAATTTATAAAGCAACCTGGCCTAGTTGGATGTACCATTGAATGATGTTTATAAGTGGGAACATGAAGAAAATAAATTTAAACACAGAGATGGAGAAAGAAAAGTTGCGTTGAAATCATTGCACAATTCAAAGCAAATTACTCAATTGCTCATAAGATTAATCATTATAGAATAACTAAAAACACCGTTACAAATGAATATTCGATACTGATAACTTCTGAAGATGAGATGTCCGTAAATATACATGTGCTGATTGTCATAACGATAAGTGTTCAGTCCACTACTCATTATTGTAGTAAATGTTGGCGTTGTCAAGGAAATAAGTACTGCGATGAGTGTTTCAAATACCACAAACGAATTTATAACGATGAATTGTCTAGCGGAGATAAAGATATCGAAGATCTAATAAAAAGAGCTATTCGAAAAGATTCCTTTGAAAGATTTACCAACGTTAAATATCTTGCTGAGGAACTGAGAGTTTATCTACTCTGTATAAAACAAAAACATTGATAAATTGAATACTTTGCCTTTTCAGTACTACAGCTCTTTAGAATATCCTAAAACAGATAAAGAAAAGAGTATCTTAAATTAGAAAGACAGAAATTGAAAGAACTTGACGAGGAGATGAAATTACAAGAAAGCATTCCTACGAACAAAAACAAAAACAACAAATCCACTCAAATGCAATTTGCACCAGTTGAATGTTTACTTCAAAATTAATATCAATCACAACTGATACAGGTATACACATTTATTTTTATATCCAATCAAAATAACATGTCAGATTGATTTTAACATATTAAATTTTTGGTTTCTACAAGTGTTAATTTGTATGCTCCAAATGAAGATAAATCACTATTACCATATATATATATACAATATATTAATAAACACTTGTTTTTCACTGCATTCGATATAGATATCGATACCAAATCAACAAACTTCAGTTTATGTGTATCAAACGAAAGCGAAGCTAATGAAGGTATTATTATCATTATTGATATTCTTTTTTATTGATTTCTTTAGTTCATTACTATTCTTTGAAGAGTTAGATGAAATTAAAGAGAATACGAGTGACTTACAAGAAAAACTACAAATTACAGTAAATGCACACGTTGTCAAGAAAACAATCGTTGCAATGAATATCATTATCAACTTTATAAAGCTGAATTATCTAGCAAAAACAAGGATATCGACAGTCTAATAAATGAATGTATAAAATTCAGGAGGCATTTCCAATGGATCCCTTTTTGAAAAATTTACCAATGCTGAACATCTAGAAAAAAGCATTTATAAAACATCATTGTACTGTTACAACTGGAATCATGAATGATTCAAAGCAAATTATAAAAGAGGTAGAAATTATAATTTCAAAGTGTAAAAAAGACATTTTTTTAATATAATTAAACTATTTAACATAAGATTAGACTGTTTTAAAGTATCATGATTGTTACTTGGAATAAGTTACTATGGAATAACTAAAAACCCAAAAATACTCGATAATAATGGATTACCCAAATTATGATATTAAAGAGGGCTACTATCTTCCCAAAATATATTAGTTCTAACTACGTAGAATTAACTTGGAAAGAAAAATTAGAATATCTACGTTGAATTATCAAATGTCTAACAAGAATTTACGAAAAGGAGCTTTGTAGGTAAGGATTATCATCATGGAATATTTATTGCATATTGATGCTTTTATACGGATTTTGGTCTTACCGACTCAGCAGATATAAAAATTTGTAGATTACTTCCTTATATGAGTTCAGAGGTATTAAGCCGAAAGCCATATACTAAGCTGCAGATATTTATAGATTTGGGATGGTTCTGTGCGAGATTGTAACTGGTGGACTACCATTTGGTGAGCAAAGACATGATAAAGATCTCGTAAAAGACATCTATAAAGGAGTACGACCAACGATACAAATAATATCCCGGATGGTGCAAATTTATTATTGAAAAATGTCGAAATTTTATTCCCAAAAATAGAACAACTTGAAGCGAAACTAAGAAAATCACAAAAAAGCACGCCTACAAGTAAAATCAAAAAATAACAAATCCACCCAAATGCAATTTACGCCATTCAAAGTTTGACTTCAGAATTAATATCAATCACAACAGATACAGGTACGAAAGTTTATTTTATATTCAATCAAAATTACATTCCAGATATTTCAGATTTAATTTAAACTTATCAAATATTTAAATTCTACAAGTATTAGTTTGTATGCAAATTCAATTAGCATTTTAAAAATCTTTAATTATTATATATAAGATAGAAATTTAAAAGAATATTAACAATAATATATGCATAAAAATTAATAATGGTTAGCAATTAAATAATAAAAATAAATCTATATTACATTAATTATTATAATTAAAAAATAATATATTAATAAAAAGTAAAATATTTGATCCATTCTATTAGATATAATATTAATAAATTGGTAAAGATATTGAATTTGCAATTATAAGTGCTTGTTTTTTATGTATTTAGTAATAATAATAATAATAATTTTAAGAATAGTATGTCTGTTTTTAATATTGTATAATTCTAAATTTATTAATAATACTTAACATAGTTTCATCAAATAATATATATAATAATTATTTGATTTGTAAATGAAATAAAAAATTTAATTGATCTTATAATAATTATCGAAATTCAATTTTTTTTCTTTTTCAAAGAAAGAATAACTAGTATTACATTTTTATATGTATAAGAATAGAATATTGAGTCAAGTACAGAAGTTGGTGCATTGTGACTATCATTCTGGAAATATATTGATATTAATGTCAGACTATTCTCAACTAATATGAATATCCAATGGCATATATTGATTGCACATGACTGTTTAATGATAATAGAAATATGCATTATCCATGACTTATTAGGATGGTGTGCAATGTACACAGTGACTCTCTTTATAGTGTATCAAAAAAATCTATTAGTAAAAAATTCTCAAAAATCCACTATATCGAAAGTTTTTGAAAATTTATTAGTAAATACACTATATCGGGTAGAATTTATTATAGATAGTTTGAACCTTTATCCATTATAGCGTGATTTTAATTAGTCTCCACTGTAAACGAGGTCCACTATAAAGAGAGTCACTGTGTAAATACAATCGCAAACATAGTCCATTTCACATAAATGTAAATCATAAATGAGGATTTTTTAATGAGAAATAATTATTACCAATTATCGCGAATTTGATTTTTTATTAATAACTAAAAGAGGTTAGCATTTTCGATAGCTTACAAATGATTTGAAAATGACATTGGCGTTTCCAATTCCATCATTTTCTACTTTCTTTTCTAATTTATTTTTATCTTGCAATATTGTATGAATAACTGAAGTTTTTCTCTTGTAATATCAAGAGAGTTAGTACTAGGTGTTGTCAAAATCATCCTTGCTTCTTGAAGCTTCAAATACATATTTGGATATACTTTCAAGTCATAAAGATTAAGCATTCCTTCTAGTTGTTGCTGGTGAACAACAATAGTCCAAATTTGATATTTGACAAAATTATAAATAAGAGAATATAATCAAAGAGGTTGAATGGAAGATGAGATTGCAAAATTGTAAAATTCGTTGTAAGAAGCTTCATTTTTTAAAGTCCAAATGTATCCAAATTTTCTTCTTTGATATTTTCTTCTAGACTTTTTATATTACTGTTTCATAAATTGATCATGATTCATATTAATGCAGAAAACCAAAAACCTGAAGATAAGCTCATTTAAAGTCAATGCCATTATTATTATCCAAACAACAAATTCTTAAAGATAGATAAATCCAAACTTGTATCCATTTGTAAGATTATTTTGTTAATGGTTGTAAACAAGAATAAAATGCGATATGAATAAGTTTTAATTTTATTTTATAACTTATGATTATTTTTATTGTTTAAA